TTTTAAATCATGAAATGCTTTTTAACGTTATTCCCCAACCCCAAAATTTTGTTCGTCCGTCCATTTCCCGCTAAATTAAGCGGGGGAATTAATATCACGAGACCTACACACGAATTCTGTTTCTCAGCTAAATTTGGCGAGAAAAATGACGTCACGTGACGTCACCTGACGCCACGTGACCGTTTCCATTTCCCCTTGGGGAAATGAATGACGGCACGCGACATATATACGTCAACTCAGTTTCCCCGCTAAATGTAGCGGGAAAATTCGCGTCTCGTGGCCAAAAACGTCAATACAGCTTCCTCGCTAAATTTACCGGAAAAATTGACTTCACGTGACCTATACGCAAATTCAGTTGCCCGCTAAATTTAGCCGGAAGATTCGCGCCTTGTTAACTAAACACCAGTCCAGTTTCCCCGCTAAATTTAGCGTGGGAGGGAAATCGACGTCACGTGAGCTATATACAGCCAATAGGTTTCCCCACTATATTTATATAGCTGGAATATAATAAGGCAACGTGACACAACAATTCCTATAATGCATTTAATGCATTATAGAGAATTTCCAATCCATGCATGCTTGTCTTCACTCCATGCTCCGAGTGCGTGGCTAAATAATCACCAACTATAGGAGAATCGGAGCAGCAGCTGCTAGGTGGCGCCCACTTTTGGAATATTACTCCCTCAACTGGATACATCGTACATTTTAGAAGAGCATCGTACTATTCGGAACTAAGATTTCAAAGTGAACAGACACTTCAGTGGCTTTCAATACTCATTGGTGTGCCGTCGCGAACAACAACGACCGGGATCCGAGCAGCCACTCGACTTTCAGTAATTTCGTCCTAGCGTGTAACCGCTTAACCAGCGCCGAATACTACGAACTTAGAAAGTCAGCGCGAGGAAAATATATTGTGGATATAAACTGGGCTTGGAGGCTCCTTGGACTATAGGCACTCCAAAGGGTGTGCGGTAAAATTAGACCTTTTGACTGAAATCCCCGAGACGTATGCTCAGATCCTGCGGTGCTGGCCCATAACTATTTTTTTTTTTCATGTCACAGCAAATTTAAAATTAACATTGTCGTTCGAAACATTTCACGCTAAATCACTGACTGGATATTTTCTCTTATCAGTTATAGACGCATTGCAGCAGCTGTGCATGGGCGCCGCCATAACTGACCTTCAGCTTTTGTTTCCTCTTATTGAATTTTCTTCTCTTCATCATTACCATAGCAGGCCAGGTTATTGCCATCTTAAATTCTATTGCGTCCTTCTACCCAGCAGTGGCGTTTCTGGAGGCTCGTCAAGAGCCGTTTCAGTGGCTCGGTATGTCCATAAGACAAAAGAAGGTCAGCAATGGCGGCTGTAATCTGGCGCGTGTGTAAAGCGTCTATAACTCACATTCAGTAGTTTTTAATCCTTCCCTTTGTTACGAAGCGACTTTGAAACAGCGCTCGTTTGGGAGAGCAGGGTCCATGTGGTGCTTGCGTTATAAAGTCCGTATTATAACCATAAATGACGTGTGGGACAAGCACTCAAATAATCAAACGTGGTCCACCCAGGGATCTTCTAAATGCTCAGTCTAAAATAAGTTGCGTTGCCTTTCTTTTTCCTTTTGCTGTACGCTGGAAATATTGCGGTTCTGAAGGCTCCGAAAGCTTATACTGATTGTTTCTAGAAGACAGAGACGGTGTAAGGGCTTCTGGTTAACGTCAACGGACATCTCGTGAAAACGACGTCAGCGCCCCCTCTCTGCGCTCGAGTGGCGAAAAGAAAGGAAGAAACGGAGCCCCGATAAATCTTGAGGAGCGCACTCGAGCTGCGGGGCGGACTCTGCAGCGGCGGTGCTCTCTACGCGTCCGCGACCGTGCGTGAGTGAACGCGGTGTCTAAATAAAGCCCGTGCCCCAGTGCCACAGCGGGACCGTGTGGCGAGCAATTAAATGCACTTTGGGCCCGGCATTCTTTTATTATGGTTTTTATTTCTTGCTGGAAGTGTTTAGGCTTCTTGAACGACTGTTTGTTTTTGTGTCGCCTGGCCGTGAGGGTTGAAGGCCTCAAACAAAAACAAAAAAGGAAAGGAAAAAAAAAAAAGGAAAGACCGGAGGCTTCGTGCGCACATGGGGTTCCTAAATGGATGAGACTAAACGAGTGGCGTCGGCGTTTCGGTTTTATCGACCGGTGCATCTTTGACCCGAGAAAGGTCCGCGCTCGAGATGGCTTTCATTCGAGTTACTCTTACACGTTAGCGCTCGTGAAATCGTCGACTGGGAAGCCGTTGGTGCAAGCATTAATACTAGACAAACGAATCGCGTCAGTTTCGTTTGATGGCAACTTTTAGTTCAAAGCTTAGCTGATTCCCATGAAAAACATAGTTTACAGCGAGGCGCATATTAGGCGTTCAAATACGCCCTGCTCCGAACGAGACGCATGGCCGCTTCAACGATCATCATTCCGAAAGCGACATCCCCATTTATTATGCTCGTAGTGTGCTTCGTGCGATGGATTGTGAGGCGACCGCGTCTACATCTACGGCCTCGACATCGGCAGCAGCGTCTACATCTACGGCGGCTTCCGCAGGCAAACCTGGCCGCCCACAGAAATACGCCACGTCCTAGACGCCGTTCTTGACGTCGTCCTCGACATCGTTTTAGATGTCGTCCTTGAGGTCGTTCGAGAGATCGTCTTCGTCGTCGTCCTAGAGGCCGTCCTCGACGTCGTACTAGAGGTCGTCCTAGACGTCGTACGTAGCGTCGATCTCTACGCGTTGGATCACTATACGTCGCCCTTAACTTAATACGGGTAGAAACTTTACTCAGGGCCGGTTGCACCAACGCCGCTTATCTTAACCCAAAGCGGCGCTTTCCTAAGCCGGCTTAGCGCCCTAAACCGAGCTTAGGTAAGCACGGGTTTAAATTTCGGTTGCACCAACGTTAAGCCGGCTTTACAGACGCGCCCCTAGCTAAGCGCTGGATTTGCGTAGGGAATCTAGGGACAAACAGAGCAAACTAGGGAACGCTCAGAGCGACGAATACGATTGGCGGAGAGGAATCACGTGATGTAAAAAAAAAAGAAAAAAAAAAACTGCCGTAGTAGTTGTCGTCGGCGTCTGCTTTTCGCTGTATTTCTTCGGTGAGTAACAAATTAAAGGTCTCCAAATTCAATCATTTTTTTGTTTAAATTTCAATAACAGAAGTCAAAGCTTCAAATAAAGACGAATGCTCTTTACATCTGTGATTGTGTGTTTAATATCGGTTGATAACAGGATATTTTGACAGTGGTAGTAGTTTTCGTGCTCACATTTTGAGGTGAAGGAGCCATCGGGGGCCCCAAATCTCACCGAACGCGGGAAGGACACTCTACTCGCTACATCGCTGAAGACAAAACATCATGGATATAAGTAGGCAGGTAAGATGACTACTAAAACCAAGTCAAGCCTGAGACCGACGAAGTTCAAAACAGTGACGAACTCGCCACGGCAGCTGCGAAAATGCCCGGAAATCGTCGAATAGAAGTCGTCGAGAGGTCAGGTCACGAGACCTTGCATCGACGGTACTCGTTGCTATCAGCAAGGCGACAGAACTGCACTGTACCGTCGTTGAACATCCGCTGCAGCCTCAAACGGACTTCAGTTTCACACTGTAGAATACAGAAAAAAAAACAAAACAACTCCCACTAGTACATTACATCGTGCCGATAAGAACGGTCGTCTCTTCGCATCACCTGCCCCAGCCTGCCCCGATACAGCAATGAACGAATCTAACATAGTAGTCGTTACGATTTGTCGTCGCCACGAATGAAAGATATAAAGCAAAATATTCCTAAAAAATCGCGATCACCAAAAAGTTACGGAGGACACAACAAGGCGCAACTTTCAACTGAATTTTATTGAAAACGTTTCCGGTATATAGTCTCAACCATCGTCACAATGACAACAAACGACAAAAGTAAAAGGAAAACACCATCACAGAGCACAACTCGGAAACAACAGTTTCTCGTTCTCGGGAAACGAATGAAAGATATAAAGCAAAAGCAAAGTATATGAAAAAAATGCGATCACCAAAAAAGTTACAGTTATGGAACGATACAGTTTTCTGAAGCCAAGATTCTACTCCCGAGATAAGGAAAATTCACTGAAGATTGTCTCAAAACTCAGAAAGCGAAAGAAATTGAATTTTCGCTGTTTTATTACTTAAAAGCGCCGCAATCTATGCAAACGGCAGAGGTGTCGACAATCAGCTGATCGCTGAGATCATGTACTGCCACTATTCAACGCGCTGATCAGATTGAAGGATACGCGCTGCAAGTGTAAATAAACAAGGTGGTAAATAACAATACGTTACAGCTATGCGAAAATTAGTAAGTACATACGAATAAGCTCGTTGACAGAAGAACCAACGGGAATACAGACGTGAGCCCCACAGCTCCGTACGTTTCTCGGTTAGGGCTAACACGCCCTGAAAGTGGAGAGCCAACTTGAAAACAGGGGTCGATCAACACTTCACGCGACAATATTTTGCATCCTTGTCACAATCGAAAGTCATTTTGTCGAGACTTTCACGCTGATGTAGCCTAAAACACTTTGCACAACCAATTTCGTCCACCGCGTCGACCGTGACAAACCAGCCGCCATGTTTTTAATCCAGGATTAAGAAACAACCAGAAGCAAAGCGCCCAATGTTGAGCGCTTAAGTTAAACGTAGTTTAGTGCTAGGTTTAGCGATAAGCGAGTTTGGTGCAACCGAACGAAACCGAAACTGAGCTTAAGTTCCCGGTTAAGCTCCGCTTTGCGTTAAGCGACGTCGGTGCAACCGGCCCTCAAAAACATTTCTCCCGCGGTATTATAATAATTTCGTCTTCCATTACGTATAGCAGTCTTGAGTGTCCTCGAGTAATTTTTCAAAAAAAAAAAAACAACTTGTGGTTCAAGTCGTCGTTTGAAACATGGGAGAAGCGCGTTAGTAAGGGCGTGCCTCCGTCCGCTTCCTTCTCAGGTGGGGGCGGCGGGAGTTCGGAGCCTTCGTCGGCGGCGGCCGCGGCGGCAGCGGCGGCAGCGGCGGCGCAGGACGCCAGCGGCATCCGTCGCTACCGGACGGCCTTCAGCCGAGAGCAACTGGCCCGGCTGGAGAAGGAGTTCTGCAGGGAGAACTACGTGTCCAGGCCACGGAGGTGCGAGCTGGCCGCCTCGCTCAACCTGCCGGAGAGCACCATCAAGGTACCTGTATGCTCACAACTGTTCTTAAGGAACGCAGCACACGGCGAGCCTCTTATCGTCGCTCCTCGGTCAGTACACCGCTCCGATGACTCCGATAACGGCACCCGATACTCCGCCGCCGCCTTTGCGCGTGCATCATATCGTTATCGAGGGTGTCGGGGGGTTTTAGAACGGTCTACTAAAGCTCTAATGAGACTGAAATATACCGAAGAGCAAATATCGAAGGAAGAAAGAGCACGATGATTAGATGCAAAGCCCTGTGTCTTTTTTAATCTTTAAGTGACTACAAGTAGATAAGTAGACGCACAAGAAATAAATAAATAAAAAAAAACTCCGCTCAATAAAACAAAAACAAAATGCATAGTGTCTAATTTTTAGAGTCCTTAGGCGGAAATTTGTCGACGTCGCGAAAATGGTGCGTGTGCACCGAGTGACTCATAGTATTTCTGAATCTATTCTTTCGTATCGTGGAAAACAAAATGTTACGTTCATGTTGTAAAACTGTGACTGCCGCATGAAGAGGTTTACGGGCCTGGTCAAGCTGTTAGTACTGCTTTTAGCCCCTAGTCGTTTCCGGGAAGTTTTCTGGAAAAATAAAATGAATTAAATGAAATTGAACTGTTCACGCAAATGTACTGTTGTGTAAAATAATTTTTTGGTGGTTTTATCGGGTCACCGCACCTTCCGAGCGTGCTTTCAAGCACGCTCCCGGAGCAGTATCGTGCGTTCCAAAACGAATTGCCACTAAGCACGGTAGTACGGTACAGCTAAGGTAGTAGGGCATATAAAGTTCAGACAAAAAGAGTCGATGCCTTATTTTTATATGTCCGAGGCATTTTATTGTGAGTCTCATCGAGTAGAAAAAGTGCGAGGTCACGGCACGCTTTTTTTTTTAACACTGGATTACTGGATTAACATAGATATGGTGTTGTTGTCACAACATTGTGCACTTACTCAACAAGAATATGAAAAAAAAAAAAAAAAAAACCTTGGAATTTGGTTGTGTGGGCGCACGACTATCAATATCCTGACAAATAAATAAGAAAACACTGCGCATCAGCGTTGTATGCTTCCTGTCGGGTTGGATATGTGGTCCCTGCTTGAGCACGGTTGGTGTCTTGCCAGAGGCTGTGAGTACCTGCCAGACACCGCTAGAGTGGTTTTTATTTACGACTCTGTGGTTTCGCCATTTCGCTGGTTGACACCGCTCTTGGGGCGCTGTCCTCTTTGTGCGGCAGCGGCGCATGGCATATTGTTGCTCATTTTCATTCCCAAGAAATGCTATGATCCAATGATAAATGTATGTCCGTGCGTGCGTGCGTGCGTGTGTGCGTGTTTCCTCTAATGTCACGCACGTTCTCTTTTTTTTTTTTTTTTCTGGCGTCGTTTACGTTGATTTAGACGTCATGTACACTGCGCGGCACTGTTAGCGTGAACACGACCTTAACGGGTTTTTTTTTCGCATTTTAATTTGAAAGGGTGCTACTGACAAGCATCGAAATTTACCACTTAGGTTATAGTCAACGGCAAAGATTGGAACGGAAGGGAGGAGTTTTATTTGTCGCCTCGGCGCCTTGTTGAGCTCCGAGCGTGCTCGCGCAGCCAAAGCACGACCGAAGGCAACGGACGCGTGCTGGAAGTCGGGCCTTCGAAAGAGACGCCATGCCGTTGTCACCGTGTCAACGGCTGTATGTACTTAAGTGAGCGCTTTCTACCGCTCAATACACTAGTGCTGTTGTCAGTTCTTTAAAACTGAAGGAAAAATAACGAAAACCGGTGACGGCTTGTTCGCGAATAGCGTTGCCGTGTGCACGTGTCCTTCATTTGGTGAGTTTTTTTTATCACTCCAAAACAGAGCTATATTTTTGGTGCTTTTTTTTAGGTTTTTTGGGGGATATGTTATTTGCCGTCGTTATGTATAATATAAGTTCGGTCACCGGTAATTCGTTTCTTTCTAAGCTGCGAAGATTCCTGCTAGGCTCTTCCAGAAAGATTTTCTTTGGACCCAATCCGCCTCATCGATGGCGGAATTCGACATACATATTGCACCATTAAAATGGCGAATGCATCGTATGCTCTCTTTGGTGCACTCGTTGACCTCGATAGCCATGTTCCTCGCTCTTGCGCCAATACACATATGACAACCGGATGTTCATTTACCACCCTTTATACACGTTAGGGGAATGCCTCCATGGTACAGAGAGGAACTAGAAAGGGAAAAACAGAGGTCAACCTAGGCTAATGTTTCTAGTTTGTTACTCTGTGTGAGGATATAGGTACGGGGAACTGAAACAAGCAAAACATAAAGGGAGAAGACACGGCATCAACACAGGCAGAAACGGGGGCATGCTGCTTTGGAACTTCAGACTTGAGGCTGGCTCTGCTCTGCAAAGAATGGGACTAGAATTACTTGTATACGTACTGATAGCGATAGCCATTGTGTGAGGGGAAAAACAGTGCGTGCTGCAATGCAGGCGGAAAAGCTCAGTTCGCGTCTCGTCTTTTGGAGTACTGGCCTTGTTTGGCAGAGTGGATTGCGATCACGTGTCCAATCTTTGAGCCAGCTGGTGTAGTACTTGCTGAACGCTAAACAAAGTATGATGTGTGCTGCCTTAGCGACACACAGAGTTGCGCGAATGTCCTCAGCAGGCACGTAGCCGGGGGGAGGCCCATGGGGCCCGGGACCCCTCCGAAATCTTATTTTGATGGAACCTTTTCTCCCCCTCCCCCTCAAACAGCATTTTGTCATGGGCGGCGGCCCCCCCCCCCCCCCCCCCCCCCCCCTTGAACCAAAATCCTGGCTACGTGCCTGTTCCTCAGTATCACCAAATGTTCCATAGCTCTGCTGTGGACGTACATAGGACACATTTGCCGCCTGTTGCTGCCTGTTCACTCGTCTAGTGGCACGATTCCACAACTTGCCCGAGTCTGCCACGCACGAAACCTACATCATCCTATCTCACGTCTTGTTCCAGGTGTGGTTCCAGAACCGACGCATGAAGGACAAGCGACAGCGCATGGCCCTGGCCTGGCCGTATGCGGACCCGCACTTCGCCGCCTACATGCTCAACGCGGCCGCGGCGGCCGCAGCCTCCGGTGCGGGCGCGTACGCCTACCCGCTGCCGGCCGGCGCCGCCGTGCCCTTCCCGTACTACACGGCAGCCGCCCTGTCCTCCCTGGGGCGGTACCACCCGTACACCGCCGCTCCGCCGCCACGACCGCCGTCGCCATCGTTGCTGGTGTCCGCGAGCCCCTTCGCCAGGATTCCTGGGGAGCCGTCGCAGAGTCCCTGTGCCTGCCCCTATGTGGGCTACCCCACCAGCGCTCCGCTGCCCGCCACGAACACCCTCCAGGCGGCCAGGTCACCTCACTCCAGGGGATCCACGGAGCCCATCACAGCGAGCTTGGAGACGACAAAACCCAGTCTGTTCCGGCCCTTCAAAACGGACGCTGAGAAAGCCTGACTGACCTCGTAACTGGTGTCTAGTCGAAATAGCTTGAGAACATGATGACTCGATCGAGAGGTGCGCGGTGACGCGATGCGTGCTGGTTCTGACCCCTTAACCGTGGGTTCGTGGGAAGGCAGCTGCTGTGCGGCGTTCGTCAGCCGAGATTGATGCTGGTGGTGAACGACGTCCTTGCTTCAGACAGCCAGCCAGCCAAGACGTATCTTCAACGACGGTGATAGGAAGGTGGACCTCAAGAGCCCCACTACCAGGGCACTGGTGCATGAGACTTCACACGACCCCTGTTTTGGCATCGGACATCGATCGTCTTCTATATGAACAGAAATCGGCAGCGTCGGTTGGACGTCTTCAAAACGAATGACCGTGCTGGAAGCGTCACCTGCTGGTCGAGATGCGTCACAGAGGCATCCTCTGCCCGAGTGCTGGACGTGCTGTGTATCGTGTCGTTGTAAACAATGTGTACCTGTGAACTGAATTTCAACTGCTGGAAACAGTTGTCACAGCGTTAGGACAAAGTGATCTTCGATATTGTTCGCGAATCCAGGAAAGCCCTCGTGCCCGTCTTCGTGGTAACTGGCTGAACTATAAAAAAAATGAAAACTGCAAGTATGGCTTGATTTTCTTTCTGAAATGTGTTTAGTGGTGCGATGAGAGAGAGAGAGAGAGAAAAAGAGAAATCACAGTAAATTTGATGCGAAATAACTAAGAATTAACCAGTGAGAGCGTTAATATGCGCCTAAACAACGCATTTCACCCGAATGTATACTCTAAAATCAAGACCGCCAGACCTTGGGTTTGGCAGCCCTCCAATCGATCATTCGTAGGCAAACCGTCCCTTCCTGAGTTCTCTCCGATATTGAGAGTTGAACAGAGAGTCAATAGCGTTTGCAGAAACAATTGAAAAGTAGAACTGCACTTTGTTACTTTGGTATACGCGCTTGTTACACGCTGCTGTCAGTCATTTTCTCACCTCCCCTCGTTTTATCCGTGTCTTTTAAGCAGTCCTTAGGAATTCAGCACATAACCGAGCAAAAATTTCTGCAAAGTACCACGATTCGCGTTGCTCTACTTGGTGTTTTCAAAAGTCGTTGAACTCCGAGGCCGACTGCGAAGCCATTAGGAGTGCCATAACACATAATCGAAAGTCTAGAGTGCGTCAGGTTTAGAACGAAGAAGCGATCGCCGCTTTCCTTGCTTTTATCGCGTAATTAAAAGGCTGTCCCAAAACTACTCAGGTGGTAGAAAGTGATTTCTTGAGGCACCAAGCTAGGAGGTGAGATTTAGTGCTCATCAATCCCTCCCCCCCCCCCCCCCCCCCCTTTCCTGTGGAATGCGAAAACACGAAGATTTTGCGCTCGCTCTGTGTCGTGCAGTGTGCATAAAAAAATCATACTTTGTTTTTTACTGAGATAACTAAAGTTTATGGTTATAGACATTCATCACTGGCAATTTGGAGTAATATTAAGTTAAACAATAAATATTACGTTATATATGAAATTACGTTTATCACACTTTGTTCCCATTACGTAAATATAGGCACGCAGTAAAGTGTACTAACAGCTGAAAGTGCAGCATTATCAGTATTGCCGTGTGCATGATCGAGAAGATACGCTTCGCTGTTTATCTAGAACAGTGGTTCTCAATCACTGATTTTTCGCGGACCCCTTGTGGATCTCCGGGGATGATGGAGGACCCATTTCGGGGTGAGGGGAACGGAATGTATAAGTTAATTATGATAATGATTTAATAAATGCGTATGCAGTAACTGAGAGCTGGTTGAAGTATATAGACTTCTCTCATTGGCATACACACGAGAAAACTCGCCCGAAAATTGGAACGTTTCTTCTCAGTGGCAGGCAGGGCTTGGGGACCCTAGAATGCCTTTGCGGACCCCCATTTGAGAACCACTGATCTAGAAGATCCAAGTACACTCTTACCCCAAGCGTAAACTATAAGGAGGCCTGAATGACCTTGCCTATAGTCACCCTAGCTGTTTCGCGAACATTCTATAGGTCGTATAGATGTGGAGCATAGCGGATAAAGAGCCAAGCGCCGTATTGCCGATTCATTCAGTGATTCTCTCTAGCGACAGCCAGCTGTTACGCCGACGAACCGTCGCTTGCCTCTGCCGCCGCCGCCGTCGCCGCTCGCTGCTGCTTTCTCGACGTGTGTTCCCTTTTTAATTTTCCTTTCGTTTTCTCTTGCCTCATCATCTGTCATTCGTGACAATATATATAAAAGACATTTTTGAGGGTCTAGGCAATTTTTAACTTCGACAGAGTACTTCCAAGATGTCAAAAATGAAATGATCATAAGCGCCAAATAATCGATTAAACTTTCTGTGTTAATTTTTTTAACCAACCCGTAAAGAAGAATGAAAATTAAAACCACGAGCCCTAGTCAACCCTTGTCTCAAAATCAACCATATCATTGTAGACATATCTTGTTGTAACGACCTATTAAAAATTGGATGTCAGTTTATTCTTTAAGAAATGTCACCTTCTATTGCCAATGTTGAAAGGCTCTTTGGCCCGTCTATCGCACATATATAATTAGTAAGGCTGTGTAGTGATCGTGAATTTTGAACGGTTAATTGGTGACCATGAATCGACTAATTAATCAGTTAGTCGCTCCGGTATGAAGGCTTACAGGATTAATAATTTGCGAAATTATACATACACCATTGCACAAGTTTTGGGAACACGAGGGATGTGATTTCAAAAGCCTTAGCGGTGTGAGAACAGTACGTCTAAATTAAGACATTTCATTTCTTTTTTTGCATACAATAAAATATTATGGAGTAGTGCGTGTAGCAGAACCAGTGGAGAGGGCAGAAAGTAATGTATACAGCTTTTTACCGATGGCAAGCGCTACTTACGTTACCGAAAAAGTGTGAGATACGGCGCAAACTTTTAAAGACGATCTTTACATCAGGTTAAAGTAAATTATTATCCTGGACTACTTTTCCCCTACGATTATATTAAACTATAAGCTCGCGGTTGTGTACTTTGAAAATACGGCGTCCCAGACGAGTAAATAAGAATGTCGACAGTGCTGAGATTCTGGGTGTTTATTTTGACATTGACGAAGACGATATGGCCTTGTGGCCCCAAAGAAAGTTTATTTTCGGAAGATCGTCCGATTGATAAATTGGGCGGCGATTAATGTGTTAATCAGTTTAGCGTATTTACATTCGCTGATTTTCAAATCCTCTTAATGTATGAAAATAGGAAAGACGGACAGTGTCTGTCCTTGAACCTTGTCTCTTTCGGAAGCGTTTACAAGTACTCGGCGCACGTGGGCAAGCACGCTGGCAACGCGTCCTACCGGTCGCCATAAAGTTATGTGGCTGGCTAGTGACCATGCTCCGGTGTTCAACCCAATCGCCACAAGAGGAAGAAATTTAATAAAACTTAATAAATTAAACAAAAAAATTTAAAAAGATAGTTAATATCAAAATGTAAGGGTGCAAACGAGCTGGTCTGCGTTGCACATGGTTGAAAAAAAACCGAGATTGCGGGTAAACGACACAACACTAAAAACTCTCTAGAGACTTTTTAGTGTTGTGTCGTTTACCCGCAGACTCAAGGTTTTTTCAACCATAGTAAATATCAGTCAGCATAGAGCACCGACTGAAAATTGCCCATAGAAACAACCAAACATACCAGCGTTTTGACAAAAAAAAATAAAAAAAGAACAAAATGAACTACTTTTTTTTGTCACGATTAGGCTTATAAACCCTATGTGCATAGTAAGGGAACGTATTGATTTAACGGAATTTTATTATAGGCAGCCGGCAACGGCCAGGCGGCGCCAGCAGGGTGAGTGTGCACGGTTATACCCTATCTCGTTCTAACTTAGCAAACGGCGAACGATAAGCCCCACATTGCTTGCCGAAGGCTTCGAAATGCGCGACGTATACGAACGCAACGCACACATATTGGAGCATGACGCAGCGAAAAGCCTAAAGCCTGGTTCAGACAGTTGCGTTTGACTGCGTTTGATTGCGTTGCGGCTGCGAGAAACCAGGACTCCCTGCTGCTTATATCGCGTGCCAAGATGATTCCTTCAATTGGATTCCGCGCTTCATACGAAGCACAGATGTGCCGGTGTATCGCTTTCGGTCCTCGACGCAACGCAGTCAAACGCACTCAAACGCAAGTGTCTGAACTGGCCTTAATACTTCTTCGGAGTTGAGGCGCGCTCCGGTGATACGCAGTCACGTTCCGATTGACCCGCCAGGGCCGTAGCTTTCGCTCTACTAGCACGTTACGCGATCACGGCTTCCTGGGATACCCAGTATTTCTCGCTTCGGACACTAGACTCAGCGGCGCCACCAGAGTAATAGTTCACGTTTGAACAATGCAACCGCCTCTCCCAGGGGTACCCAATACTTCTTGCGTCAGTCGCTAGATGGCGCCAAACCAAACAGCATTGCAGGTTGCCTATTGACAAGTCATCCGGGTGCTAAGAGCTCCCCGATTCACGATGAAACAAAAATATTACACAGGCGCAAACATCTCAGCGTATCTTCACAAAACGAGCTCGTTATTCCCTTAAAGTCTGGATGAGAGCGCGTTGGTTACGCGATTCTCAAGTTTAGGCACAAAAAACATAAACGGGCGGACAGAGGAGATTTGTCAGTCGTGAATCATGTCTTTCAGTTCGTTCATATACTAGCATGAACTCCGGGATACCGAAGCGCGCGACGCACGTTCTTCGGGATCTCGCAAGTCATGATGCCAGTATCACCCTAAATGCGTTAGCTCATTATCTTTTTTTTTGATGGCTAGAAATAGATAATGTTGAAGAAAACGACCTCAGGTCAAGCGCCATCTACGGCTAACAACGAGCCGTGGTCCCTAAGGCGGCATTTTTCAAACCCCTCCGATGACACCTCATCATCGCCAAACTGCTGCATCGCCCAACAATCTCAAAATTTCAAATGACGCCGCAAACAGGCGACCTCTTCCCGACCTCGTCTAACTGCTTCCACCCTCCGGTGGTGGGAAGGGAACCAAGGAAACGTTCGAGTCTTCCCAGAGAAACAGCTAAGCAGCAATCCCTGCTTGGCTTCCCAACTCCTTCGGCCCTAAGCGCTTAACAAGCCCTAATCGAAGATGGAACCGTAGCGACTCGAAAGAAGATTGCCGACAAAGTCGCGATGCTTCCCCATCCTTTGTTTCCTTACACGAGCTGTCGTTAGGGGACACAGTGGCGCTCTTTTGGAGAGCCATCCCGATACCCAAGAGGCGTCGCCGGGGCCGAGCTCAGGGACAGACGTCGGCGGACATCTGAGGAGCGGAGAACGTTCACCCCTCACGTGCCTCAGGCGTCGGCGGACCGGGCAGGGACAGGAAGCATTGTCTAGTCTCGAGGCTGCCTGGGGATTCGGGAAAAATGCTCGGGGAAAGAATGAGCGGAGAGGTTAGTGCCGGCCATCTGAGACGCTGCCAAGCTGGCATGGCGTCTGTCCTAAGCACGTCTCTCACGGAGATTTTCCCGCCGTACAATGATCTGTCTTAACGACGGGCTTCTTCCCAAAGCTGTATACGGAAAACGTAAAAAAAAAGTAAGAGTGAGAGAGAAAATAAGAGAAAAACACT